AGATGGTATGTTTATAGATGTACCAGTATGTTCATATGGTTCAGTTGTATATTAGTGTTTCTGTCTGGCATCAAAATGTTCAGGTTTTGGGAAAGATTTTTTTGGCGGGTGTTTTTTGGCGGGATTTTTTAGGCGGGTGTTTTTTGGCGGGTGTTTTTTGGCGGGTGTTTTTTTGCAGATTTTTTTAGGCGGGATTTTTGGGGGAATTTCTTAGACGGGATTTTTTTGCGGGTATTTTTAGTGGGATATTTTGGGGGGTGAGAGATGATAAGAGAAGGTAAGAGAGATACGGTGGACTTAATTTACTGTCTGTGATATAAAGTTTGGGTACGTACGAGTGTATTAATATGATAGAGAATAATTAATATACAGCAGCTCAAATACTGATTAAAGATTCAGTAGGGTTTTATGATGTAGCTGGATTAGGTTAGGTTAGGTTAGGTTAGGTTAGGTTCAGTAACCGTATCTCTAACGTGAAAGTTGTCAGGTAAGGGTGATGTACCCTCGAGTCCTTGGGTCAGGTAAGGCTCAAGGCTCTCACCCCGAAGGCCTTCAAGGGTTGCGTGTGATTAAAATTCATAATCAGTCTCAAAAGCTCGTACAATTATTCTCCTCTTAAACTGTGAATATATAATCGCTCCTAATTGCCTCGTTTAGCCTCAAAGATAGCAATTAAATTTCTTATATCGCCAAAAAATTGCACTTACGGGTTTACAGGATCTTGACTCTCTCTCAGCCTCACGTAGGAGAAAAACATTAACGTGTGAACCTTGGAGAGTCTACAGCCACGATACTAATCATTGTACAGTATATTGCAGGTACTTGGTGGGGAGGTGTTGAGTGTGTACAGTATTGCAGAGGCACTTGGGGAGGAGCTGAGTGTGTACAGTATTGCAGAGGCACTTGGGGAGGAACTGAGTGTGTCCAGGAAGCTATTAACGCATGACTTACAGACCCACAAGGGAGACGTTTCAACCAGCTGCCAGGTAAATTATTCCCACCAAATATATACAACGTTGTGAAATTTCAGCTGAACATTAATATCAACAGAACGGAACTACTCTAAGTTGTATCCGGGAACTGACGAGTACTTTTTGTCCAACAAATATACTTATAAACTACATTGTTAAGTGACTTGTACTTTAATGCCCAAATTACTTTAGATATATATACAGTGTGTAAAATATAGAACCACTTTACTAGGCTATTTTATTAAGTAATTGTTATATGAAGAAAATATTCAATGATATACCGACAATATATTTATTTTATTTGAACATTATTGTAGTTTACGAGGGAAAAAAATAAGGAATTCGCTTAAATTTATATAGAGATTCAGATGGTGTATATTGAATCCTTTCCTATATCGTATTAATTAAAGAGGTGTGGAGTCCCCCGTTCCCAATTCTACCTGTTCTCAATGACCTAAAATAAACAAGAGACTTCCTTACTGCAGCTCTAACCACCTGTGTAGAATATATTATTATTACCTACTCAAACCCCCCCCCCAAAAAAAAAAATTATTATACTGAGGATAAATTGATCACTTTCATTAGTTTGTTTGTATGTCTGCTCTCTTGTGTTCCTTTCATATACAATCTGATCTTTAGGGAAATTTCACAGGTATTTAGTCTATGCTAATCTAAGCCAGGGTCAAAGGTCATCGTAAAAGGTTATAATCCTCTTCTAACGTCCAGTTATGAACCTAACCTAACAAATTGATGTCATAAAGATTGCCAACATCAACCTGAAGAAATTAGCAACTAACAGTTCGCGAGTTTGGTCTGATCTCATAATTAAGGGTTATTAAAGAAGAACAGCAATCACTGTTTACTTTGCACAGTCCATGAAAGGTTAATGAACTGATACATCGTAAAGGCAAGGCATTGTGTAACTTGTGATTCTCTACCACAAACTATACGGCTATGGTTCGCTGGGTAAGTTTAGAACACCTGGTACCTACACTTGTATATATCATAGAGAGAGAGAGACAACATATAAAATGATCTAATCTGACTACAATTATGCCAGGGATAATCCTCTCATCCATAAGAATATTTTGTAGGTTCGATCATTTGTAATTATAATTTTACTGGTGAGGTCGTGGCTTTTCTCCCCGTCACTATCATAATTCGTCCTTTTAACAATAATACATTTTAGCTAAATCTACAGGTCCTACAGTACGTGATGGTTGGAGGATTTAGTCAACCTACATAATAAATTTCTTTGAATGATAACTGGGAAGATATATTATTCAGTACAAAACGACGACTCTCTACTCACTAAATTCAAGTAAGGAAATGTGAGAAATGTGAGAAATGATTGACGTGTCGTTTTTACTTGTTTAGGCCAGAGAACACGGGAAGCTGACCCTCTAAAGCTGAACCCTCAGAACCAGAACTTTCCTACGTACAGCAAACGGGAGTTAAAAAAAAAATGAACTTGGCTAATTTACGTAAAAAAATTCTCTCTTTAGACACAAGATCCAGCGAATCAATGGTTTATTATTCAACTGCAAGTAGTGAACATAACCACTAATAATCCACAGTAACATGTCTATATAACTCACAAGAAAAAAAAAATGCTCAGTTTACAGTGTAGGCTGACAGACGCGTGTTAACCATTGAAGTTAAAAATGCAAGATGAGGAGTGAGTCCCCCTCTGGAATGTGCTGTACTCCGCCACTCCGCGCTCTGGGATGCCTTGGGAGGAACCAGCTCAACGGAATATTCCCCAGTCTGCCTCATGTACAGTCTATATCGTAGAGTCCAAGTCACAGAACAACACAAAAATAGGTGTTTACTGTACTGTATTCATTAATTTATAGTAGTTGTTGTCTAGAGGATTAATTAATTTAGTTTACATACTACCAGCGGTTTGTTGATGAAATGTAGACAGTCACGAAAGCACCAACAACCCTGGTCTCCTACACACACACACACACACACACACACACACACACACACACACACACACACACACTGAAATATGTAATCTTCTATAAGAACAATGTTGTCTTGGGTATTATTACTCTTGAGGGTAAAAGAGAGAGAGAGAGAGGGAAGGATTATAATATATACCACATGTATACTGTATACTTCATAACTATGTATACTTTACTTCATCACGGCTTTTACCTCTTCATACAGAGTAATCCGAAACAAGAATAAATATGGATACATTTCTGACGTTTATTTCTTATCTCTTCTACGTAGTCTGGTTTATAATTCTCACCAGACTTAGTAACATAACCGACCGACTCACTCGCACACTGATGTTCTCTTGATGTTAATTCCCTTCAATAGTTTTATGGGGCTAAAAATCAGTAGTTTATGGAGCTAAAATCAATAGTTTGTTTATGAGGTTAAAAATCAGTGATGCCAACCTTGTCCCCATGATATAAGCCATTAATAATACAAGGTTATGAGGTTTTCCTTTATGATCAATGTTGGTAACGATGCCTCGCGTTATGATAATGTTATATACTGTTGATGTCAAATTCTCCTTTCTAAAACTTTCACCATTTTATCATTATTTTCGTTACGTAATTATGCTAATAAACGTCACTTGAAACTCATCCAAATTAATGCTACAATATTATTTTAACTCCCTTAATTATTTTTCATAGTATGGTAAAAGTATTTTGTTTCATTTATTTATATAATCTTTTGTGTGAATTTAGTATTAAATTTTTCATGAATTATCCTTGACTCTTCTTTCATTTTTTCAACAGTTTTTCAGTCAACAGAGGTCATTATTCCGTACGTGTAAATGTTGAACGGATGCAAGTACTGTACCTTGGCCAGCACACCCTCCAACCCTGCCTGCCAGTACTACAGTCTTCCACAGTTCGATGATGCTGAGGTTAAAAGCCAATAACAGGTAGCAGGAGGAAGATGAGAGCTTTTGGATCTAAATTCCACTCTGGGGCCTCCAAGGCGCTATTAACACCATCACGATTTAGAAACGAAAAGTTGAACGTTGGAAAGTTGCCCAAACATGTTTTTATTCTGAAGAAGATTCTCTCTTACGTACCCCGAGCATCAACGACCCAAGGAGCCTTCTCAGTACACACACACACACACACACACACACACACACACACACACACACACACACATCAGTAATATGAGTGGCTAAGACTGGTAGTAGTTCAGTAGACGGTTCTAGTGGTGGTGGTGGTCCCGCGGGTTGAAACATACACTGCAGGCTATACATTCACCCGCACAGGACAGGTCAGGTCAGGTCAGGTCAGGTCAACAGGTCAACGCATCAAAGGAGGTGTCGACGCCTCCTGCCCGGGATGACTCAGTTCACGACGGTCAACTGAAGTAAATTTACGTCTGGTTTGTGTATCAAGTTGAGGTTTGTTGATATAAGAGTGGCAGGCTATTTTCTTTTTTAAGGAATAATAATGTAAACAGTAAAGCAGCTTTTGTTTGTGCTTGGTTAGGTAAACAATATAAGGAAAGCAGAATAAGTGTCCCTCGAGCTTAAAACATGTACACGCTGTTTGGCCCGCCCGGCACATCACACTCCAGCCCGACACATCACACTCCAGCCAGACACATCACACTCAAACCGCCTCTCTCCCTCCACTCCAACTAATCCTCGAGGCAGCGCTCATACCCGGCCAATATTTCCGTCCAAAATGTTGCATGGACCGGGATTACTTATTGCAAACATCCAGAATTCGCAACTTAAAAACATGATGAGATTTTAACACTGGACGCTATTTTTTTTCCAATACTCTGTACATACTTGTCTCTATGAGTTACTATTTTTTACATGTTAACTGCTGCTGCATTATGATTATTATTATTATTATTATTATTATTACAATTCTATTATTATTTTTTTGTATACTTCTGGGAAAATTTCAAACGACCATAGGACCTCCACCACTTCCACCCACCCTCCACACACCACCCACCCACACCCCCCCACACACCCCCCACACACCACCCACCCACACCCCCCCACACCAACCCCCCACTTACCATTGGTGATCTGCTCCCCCAGTGGGATGAGCAACGGCATCAGGACGTTGACGGCCATGGCGGCGAATCCACGACGCCAACAAGCCGCCCACCGCCGCCCACACTTCCTGACGGCTCGCTTCCTCGGTGACACCATTCACAACGCTGCCGCGCACCTCATCTGACCTACGGGAGGAAAGTAAACACGTGAGGTTAGGTTAGGTTAAGTTTGGTTAGGTTAGGTTTGGTTAGGTTAGGTACAGACGAGAACTTGACCCGGAGACTTAAAGGTTTATTTACAGTAAACTTCAGGTGTGAGACTGATAAAACGTTGTACACAAATGGCTGCATAATAGGAGCATCAGGGAGTAAATATTATAGCGAATTACAATTAGGTGCAACTGTTATAATGATGTGTTAAACTGTTACAGTATAATGCTGTGTTCCACTTATAATGCTGTGTTGAGCCTTTCATGATACTGTTAAACTGTTATAATGCTGTGTTCCACTTATAATGCTGTGTTAAACTGTTATAATACTGTTAAACTGTTATAATGCTGTGTTCCACTTATAATGCTGTGTTAAACTGTTATAATACTGTTAAACTGTTATAATGCTGTGTTCCACTTATAATGCTATGTTAAACTGTTATAATACTGTTAAACTGTTATAATGCTGTGTTCCACTTATAATGCTGTGTTGAGCCTTTCATGATACCATCGCCAGCTAGCAGGTCATATCAGCCAAGGTCTATATATATTTCTACCTTGATATCAGCCCAGAAGGTTCAATTACCCCACGTCCCTCATCGATAAACACGGCTGCGTTACCTTAATAACACACCTCACCTCACTCTCTTCACCTGGATGAGGATTCCCAGGCCTTCCTACGTTAATTTCTCACTTATGACCAAAGGCGTGAGTGTCGGCCTAATTTCATGATTTGAAGCACGAGGCAGTGATGCAAATTATGTCCAGCTTATACCGAGAGTCTGAATTGACGCTGTCTCGAATTATCACAAACCTAACCTAACCAAACCTAACCTAAGCAAACCTAACCTAACCTAACCAAACCAAACATAACCATACCTAACCTAAACTAACCTAACCAAACCTAACCTAACCCAATCTAACCTAACCTAACCTAATCTAACCCAATCTAACCTAACCAAACCAAACCTAACCAAACCTAACCAAACCTAACTTAACCAAACCTAACCAAAACATTTCGTTGTATTTTCAGGCTTAATCGCACACTATCGCAGGAACGCTTGACACACACACACACACACACACACACACACACACACACATACACACACACTATTGTATACGAGGAAAATTTGGCTAATAAGTTTTTGATGACGCCTTAATTCATAGAGTGACGGCAGGTAACACAGGTAAGTATATTTTAATGATCAATCACCACATAAACTTGACACACCTGTGATAGTTGGGAGCCATTATAGTACATCGCTTTATGGCTCTAAATGACTCTACTACATTTAGAGTTTGGTGTTTGGTAGAGTGTGAATGAGTTTAGTAGCCTCGACTCTTATTTCATCTAACTACTGGTAGCCTGAAAAAAAAAAACTTAATGTGTTTGTTTATTTTGGTGTTTGTGTGTATGTTTATTTATATATTTGTGTTTTTTTATTTTTTGTGTTTGTGTTTTTTGTGTTTGTGTGTTTGTTTATTTTTATATTTGTGTTTTTTTTATTTTTTGTGTTTGTGTGTTTGCTTGTTTTTGTTTGTTTAATATATTTTTATGAACATTGATGTGAAAGTATCCTAGAATCTTCCTTCTATTATTGCCGAGTTGAGAGCAAGATGCTGTATGTATTCCTCTCACTCCATAATAATTCTGGTACTTGAAACAATTCCTTTTATTACATCACAGGTTAATTAAAATCCCCATAACAAAATAAGAATTAATAATAATATAATACTCATCATTTACTGAATTAAATCTTATCATTTTGTATCTTCAAACACTATAAGTAATTCTGGTATTAATAAAACACACAAATTCTACCTGGTAATCTTATTAGTTTCATGTAAATTAAATTAATGTTTCAATGATATTAAGTATTACTGTGCCTCAATAACTATGGTTTTTGACCGTGTGTGTGTGTGTGTGTGTGTGCGTGTGGGTGTGTGTGTGTGTGTGTGGGTGTGCTGTGTGTGTGTGTGTGTGTGTGTGTGTGTGTGCTGTGCTATACTAGGCTGTATAATAAATACACTAATGCCATTTCACTCTCTCTTTCTCTCTCTCCCTCTTTCTCTCTCTCTCTCTCTCTCTCTCTCTCTCTCTCTCTCTCTCTCTCTCTCTCATTCTCTCTCTATGTAAGCATGTATTTATAGCACTTCGTATTTATTCATTACCTAAACAATTAAGTTATCCACCATCAATTCCTTAATTAGAGAAATATGATCACTACTACTACTACTACTACTACTACTACTACTACTACTACTACTACTACTATTACTACTACTAACAATAATAATAATAATAATAATAATAACAACAATTGGCGGATATAGATTCAGTGTTTTCATAAAGTAGCCAGAGTTAGCCAGGTGGCGGTTTATTAGGCTATTTGGCCTCGTAACTCACTGCCGCACTTCCCAAGGTTCAACATTAGTCTGTCAGCCACCCAGCATCTCTCATATGCCACCTGCTCCAGAGAGAGAGAGAGAGAGAGAGAGAGAGAGAGAGAGAGAGAGAGAGAGAGAGAGAATATATATACCTCACGTCAATAAATATTCCTCAACCTAATATATTCCCACAAGTGTATATAAGGAATTCCTAAGACAGTACAATGACACACAAGGTTAGGAGTATAAATGTAAATAAATAAATAAATAACAGACAGGAAGAAATAAAATATGAAAAAAGTGAGAATTTGATAATGAAAATGAAATAAATTTAAAGTCAATGAGATTTAGGTTTTTAATCCCGCCAAAAGACAGATACAGGTAACATAGACACAGACACACAGGTAATATACACACACAGACACACAGGTAATATACACACACAGACACACAGGTAATATACACACACAGACACACAGGTAATATACACACACAGACACACAGGTAAAATACACACACAGACACACAGGTAATATACACACACAGACACACAGGTAGCATAGACACAGACACACAGGTAATATACACACACAGACACAGGTAATATACACACAGAACACAGGTAATATGCACACACACAGACACACAGGTAATATACACACACAGGTAATATACACACACAGACACACAGGTAATATACACACACAGACACACAGGTAATATACACACACAGGTAATATACACACTCACACAGACATAGTTAATAAACACACACACACACACACAGGTAAAACAGACGAAATTCTCGGGTCATGGTGTAAAAATCCCCACCTTAGGCTATGAGGAACAACAACAAAATACACCTCCACACCTCACACACACAACACACCCGAGTATCTTATTTAAGCTACAAAAAAAAAAAAACACCAACTACCTTTTTTTTTATAGATAATTTTGGTCACTAGAGGTAGAGGGCAGGTATACACATCAGCCACACACCTGTCAGTATTAATTACTTTACTACAGGAACACCAGTTTTAGTATTTGGTTCACGTCAGATGATTTTACTCAGTACACAACGACAGAACCCCGTATAATCAGCTTTAAGAATTTACATAAATATTAAATATGTTGTTTTATACATGGGTTCATTAAATATGTTTTCAATTACGACATATTAATTACTTACAGTTTATTCTGACCAACACGAGTCAACCTGAGTTTATTTTATCTCTGTTGTCATGTTGGTTTGATTAAATTCACTGGATATATAATTTATTTTTAGTAATATCTGTAAATGTTGTAATGTATATAGCCAATATTTGACTTATATATTATTACTATATGTTTGTATGTGTTATTCCTCCTGTGTGACTCATTATTCTGTACTGGGGTCCATAGGGTTTATAGGACGTAATGTAATGTTGTCTTTGTTGTCCTATTTCTCACAGAGGCAACGAAGATGTCCCTAATATTTTTGTTCCATTTTTATTTGACGATAGTGAAAAGAACCTGTCGGGACCTGTTATGACCCGTTAGAATCTGTCAGGAGCTGTTATGATCTGTTAGAACCTGTCGGGACCTGTTATGACCCGTTAGAATCTGTCAGGAGCTGTTATGATCTGTTAGAACCTGTCGGGACCTGTTATGACCTATTAGAATCTGTTAGGAGCTGTTATGATCTGCTAGAACCTGTCGGGACCTGTTATGACCCGTTAGAATCTGTCAGGAGCTGTTATGATCTGTTAGAACCTGTCGGGACCTGTTATGACCCGTTAGAATCTGTCAGCAGCTGTCATGACCTGTCAGGACCTGTCAGGACTTGTCAGCACCTGTCAGAACTCGTCATGACACTCGCCAGCGTTATGTGAACTCACTTTATAATTAAGTATTCAGTTAGTCCACGAAATGTTGTATACTAAACACTGTGTCGTTTTAGAGTCTCCGTGTGTGTGTGTGTGTGTGTGTGTGTGTGTATCAGTGTGTATATAAGTATGTACTGTATATGTATGTAAGTACGTGTGTGTATATATATATATATATATGTGCATATGTGTGTGTGTGTATATGTGTATGTATGTGTATGTATGTATGTCATCAAAACAGAACACCCAGATCTCAAATGGCTAAATAAAAAAACAAAAAAAACAGTCAATCTCTTTTTTGTCAACAACACAATACATTATGTTCTTTTACCTATGACCAAATCAATTCCACATGGACAAGAGTAAATTAAATAATAAACTAAATTAAATTCACTCGATCACTAACAGAGAAGAAAAAAAAAGATCATCGGCGCAGAAAAACAAATTGTTGCTAGGTGATGCTGACTGACGGAGAACCGATGCTCTTTTGTTTTTTTGTTTTGTTTATGGATGTTATCGAACACTCTCAGAACACCTTTTGGGTAATCTATTAACACTCTTGATTCTATACATACATACATGCATACATACATACATACATACATACATACATACAAACTAACGTATGCGTCACCAGCCTGGTCGTCTTCTCTCAACTCCACCCAACAACGTCGGCTAGAGAAGGTACAGAAAAGGGCCTGCAGAATCA